CCTTTTTTTGGCAATTCTTGCTAAAGCAAACCAGAGGCCAAGGGGCAGCGAGTGATTGAGGACTGAAAAGGGGTGTGTGTGTGTGTGTGTGTGTGTGTGTGTGTGTGTGTGTGTGTGTGTGACAGTTGAAAAGAGACTGTCCGGGCAGAAAAGCTGTTTCTTATCCTGAATACGCCCTGCTGTTGTGAAGTGTCAACTCATAGTGACCCTGTGATCAGAAGAATGTACCACGGCCCAGGCCTGCACTGTCTTCAGTCGCTGTTCAAACCCATTGTTGGAGACACTTAGTTAATCCAGCTCCTTGAAGGTCTTCTTTTTTGCTGACCCTACTTTACCAAGCATAAGGTTCTTCATGGACTGGTTCCTCTAGATAATATATTCAAGGTAATATATCCTCACTTCTAAAGAGCGTTCTGGCTCTTCTTTCAAAACAGATTGTACAGTAGGAACTTAATTGTTGTTGCTGTTAGGTGCTGTTGAGTCGTGTAAGAGCCATGGTGACCCTGTGAATCTGAACCGTAGCCTGTCCTGTGCCACCCTCCCCAGCTCTGACATCCATGAGCTCATTGCTGCAATCACTGTGTAAATGGACCTGTTTGAGTCTTCCTCTCTTCCACCAACTCTCTACCTTTTCAAGCATGAGGTCCTCTGAACATTTTTGAGAAGCGATAACAAGATGTCATGTAGCCTAATGTCTTTTTCAATACCTTAGAGGCAGATCTGGAGTATAGATTGTATCGCAATGGGCATACGCCAACCTTTTATAAAGATTTACATATTAATAGAAGTTGCATTTTTGGGAGTCCATGGTATAGATTTTTTTCCCCTTAGGCATAAACATTGGTCACAGTAAGTAGATACTAATCATTATCCTTAAAGTCAACAACAAGCACCACAGTTTTGGGGAGCTGTTTCCTTCATGAAGATTTTTAAGTTGTTGTGTTGTTATGTGCTGCCGAGTCACCTGAGACTCATAGCAACCCTATGTACAACAGCTCTGAAACCTGCCCTGCCCCGAGCCAGTCTCATTAATTCCGACACACCCGCCCCATTGCCCCAGGTACTGGATCAATCCATCTCATCTGGGGTCTTCCTCTCCTGTGCTGTCCGTCCACACTTCTGAGCATGATGTCCTTCTCCAAAGACTGGTTCTTCTTGGCTACATGCCCAAAGTATGTGAGATGGAGTTTAAAAATCCTAGCCTCCAAGGAGAAACTTGGTTTCACCCTCTCCAAGACAGACCTATTTAGGGAGCTCTAGTGGCCTAGTGGCAAAAAGCTGCGCTGCAATCCTGAAGGTGCATGGTTCAAATCCACCAGATGCTCTGCTGAAGAAGGGGCAGTCTCCTCCTATGTCAGTCAGATCCAACTCGATGGTACATCACAAGAAAACACACACACAAAAAGAAGAAGAAGAAGGAAGAAAAGACAGACCTATTTAAGTAGCAAGTGGTTTTTCTATGTGGTTCATCCCCAAACCTGAGATTTACAGTAATGTGGGACCAGTTTACTATTTCTGGCAAAAGACCATCCCAACTTCCTAGTCTGGGAAAGAGGCACTGATACATACAAATAAACAACTGTTCTAAGACCACAAGTTTAAGGAACTTTTTTAAAAAAATTATTTGTGTGTGTGTGTGTGTGTGTGTGTCTGTGTATCGTCAGATCAGATCTGACTGGTACAGGAGGAGACTGTCTCTCCTTTTCTGGCAGAGCATCTGGTGGATTTGAACCATGCACCTCTGGGATTGCAGTGCAGCTTCTTGCCACTAGGCCACCAGAGCTCCCCCTGAGTCTTTGCATGTTTGGATTCACTCCATAGTCCACGTCTTTATTTTCATAATAGGATGCCCACTTTTTTGTTGTTGTCTCCCCTTCTGTAGGTTCCTCAGTCCCTGAGTAGAAGAAGGGTGCTCAGGGTGTCAGTTTCTGGGGTCGGGTCCTGGAGAGATCTCTGTAAATCCTTCACCATTAGCAGTCTAGGGAGGAAATGTTAGCACTGCCTCTGATTCTTGTGCCATCTTGCTTGACCAGGAATGGGTTCTTGTTGGATGAGACTCTTTGGAAATAAATTTGAGCCAGATGAGGTTCTGAGCATGAGCTCTGCTTGTCGGTTTAAAATCAGAAGAAGTCACTGTTGTAGAATGGGACTGACATCAGGGTTGGGGTAAGACTGAGAAAAACTGGATAAATTATGTATACTGCATTGAAACAGATGAGGGAGAGAATAATTTAATAGTGATATATGATAGGGTATTATGGCTATCACAAGAGTCCAGAATTAAGGTTGCATAGTGGAGTGTACTCGGGACGGTGGGAGGGGTGTGGAGGGATTGTATACCAAAGAAGGAATTTTTCTTTTGCTTTTCAAAGAGAAGCGCAAACTGGGGAGGGGAGGGAGGGCTGGGCAGGGAGAAAAGTGCAACAATGATTGAATGGAATTCCAAAATCTCTGTAAATGTTCATTAAAATTAATAAAATTTTTAAAAAATAATCAGAAAAAGTGTTCATCAGGGTTGCATCTTCATCCATACCTGTTCAATCTGTATGCTGAACAAATCACTCAAGAAGTGAACCTTATGAAGAATGTGGTGTGGTGTCAGCGTTGAAGGCTCATTAACAACCTGCTTTATGTGGATGACAAAACTTTACTTGCTAAAAGTAAAGAGGACTTGAAATACTTCCTGCAGAAGATCGAAGACTATAGCCTTCAATATGGATAACATCACAAGAGCAAGAAAAGAAAACTCCTCACCATTGGACCGGTAGACAACATCTTGATAAATGGAAAAGAGAGTGAAGTTTCTAACTATTTTATTTTAGTTGGATCCACACTCAACAGCCATGGTTATATATTGTTGTTGTTAGGTTCCATCAAGTTGAGTATGAACCATAGTGATGCTAAAAACAACAAATTAAAAAACAACAACAAAAAACCCCCTCAGATTTGACCCTGCCCTATCCTGTGCCATCTTCACACTGCTGGTCCATTGCTGCAGTCACTCTGTCAATCCACCCGGATGTGGGTCTTCCGCTCTTTCGCTAACCCTCTGCCTTTCTGAGCATCACATACCTCTCCAAGATACAACAGCCCCGCCTAGCAACATGCCGGAAGTATGTGAGGCAAAGCCTTATCTCTGCTTCCAAGGAACACTCTGGTTGCACTTTCTCCAAGACGTATTTGTTCTTTTGGAAGTCCATGGGATGCTCAGCTCTCTTCTCCAGCCATAGTAGCACCAGTCAATAAATCAAAAGGCAATTTTATTGGAAAAATCTACTGTCAAAGATATATCCAAAGTTCTAAAGTGCAAGGACTTCAGTTTAAAGACTAAGATGCGCCTGATCCAGGCCATCATATTTTCAATTGTTTCCTATGCATCTCAAAGTTGGACAGTGAATGACAGAAGAGTCGATGCCTTTGAATGGTGGTGCTGGTGAAGATTACTGAATATACCATGGATTGCCTAGAGAACAAACACATCTATCTTGAAGAAAGTGCTACCAGAGTGCTCTTTAGAGGCAAAGATTGTGAAATTCCATCTCACTTTCAATGGGCATAATATACTGGGAAAGGTAGCGGAAGAGAGGAAGACCCTCAACAAGATGGATTGACACAGTGATGACCACAGTGGGCTTGAACAGGACAGAGATCATGAAGATTACACAGGACAGAGAAAAGCTTAGTTAGCTCTGTTCACAGGGCTGCTATGCTGCTCATGGGGTCCAGTATACATATGTATATGTATACTATACGTATACGGAGGTATATGTACTCGACTCGATGGCACTTAATAACAGGTTCCAAGACTGCTATCTGGACATGCATTATAATAATAGAGGTTGGACGTGAGTGGTCAAAGCTCAGGGGTCTCCTGGCTTGCAGAGGATTATCTGCTTGGGTATGGCCTTCAGGATGTGATTCCTGGTCAAGGTCTACAACTTTCAGCTCAGCCTCGAAGGCTTGTGTGGTGGAAAGGATTGTCCTTGGCCTCAGATCCTGGTTGATTCCTGCCCACACCCTTGGTCGTCCAGCGTCTGGGTGAATCTAGAGGCATTATGCCAGTTCAGAGAACCTATTCGACTCCAGACACATCACTAGTTAATAATAAGTATTTATTTTGGGATTTGCGGAATGCCTATGTGCACAACTCTGCGCTTCTCAGAGACAGGAGTTCCTACAGCTGCTTCCCTGAAGGTGGAAAGACACGTAGGTCACTTCTCCAGTGTTAGGTCATGAGAGGTCAAAGCACTGAAGCTGGGGCGCAGCCACTGTACTTCCCCCAGGCTGACTCCAGGGGTTCACAATGGAGCCTTTAAGAGGAACCATCCATGTTCACGTGCCTCAGGGCCACAGAAGCCCAAAGGAGGCCTGGGAGCTGTGTGGGCACCTACGATTCAGTTAAAGCAGAAACCTGGACCTTCTCTGTGTATTTCTGCCCACTGTGGGGCGACCTTGGGGACAGCTGTTTTCCCCCTCTCATTTCTTCCTCACTGTCAAGTGGGGTTGAAGGTGATTGCATTAGGGTATCCGGGGAGAGGATCACTGCAGAGCCCTGGCCACCTGCTTCTACTGCTCAGACCAGATGAAGCGGGGAAGGTCATGGTCAAAATGCCTTGCCAGCATGCTCTGGAGCTATCCTAGAATTTGTTACCTGAGGAGGTGGGAGGAAGAGGGCAGAGGGTTTAGTTGAAGGTCTTCTTTGAGATTTGTCCAAGATTACGGAGTCACGTGGGGCAAGGACTGGACTGGGGCCCACTCCCACCTCCCATGGGTAAAGTGAGTCCCAGGCCTTAGTCTGGGTGCTAACCTGGAGCCTTTGGAAGGACAAGAGGGCCCTGTGACCTCCCCACTCCAGATCCCTCCTTCTGGGGTGCAAGAAGCCTGGTATCTGACACAGATCAGAGTGGCCAGCTGGGTGGGGCAGAGGTATGGGGAGAGAGGCAGGGAGAGGGGAGGGCACTATAACCGCTCCCCCAGCACTCTGTCCCCTGTTCCCAGCGCTATTTGAAGTGAGACAGAAAGTGGGCCACGGGGTAGTGCGGCCCATCGATGCCCAGGCCCTGGCAGAGGCCCAGCAAGCGGTGGCGGGCCTCGGCAGGACTGGCGCCCGCACAGGCCACATTGCAGTACGGCTCTTCGTACTCGCCGGGCACCAGGGCCTCCTCCAGCACGTTGAGACGCAGCACACCCCGGTCGTGCAGGGCCTGCAGGGCTTCGCGGCTGGCGGTGGAGCTCAGCGCCTGCAGGTGCTGGGACACCAGGCACATGATGCCCACCAGGTGGCCGCGGGCTCGCGGGTGGGCGGGCACGGCGGGCCGCAGGCCACAGGCCACCATGGCGGCAGCCAGCAGCAGGTCGACGCCGTAGAGCTCCAGGATCCAGTCCCTTAGGTAGAAGCCGCCCATGCGTGGGTTGATCTCAATGAGCCTTGGCCCTGCCTTGGTCACCTTGAGCTCCACGTTGAAGACCCCATCCAGCAGCCCGCAGCCCAGGCAGCAGCGGAAGGCCGCCTGAACCAGCTGAGCCTCCTGCTCCGGGGCCAGCCCGGTGGGCATGCAAGCTGCGGTCTCAGTGAAGCCGGGCAGCCGCGTGGGACCGTTGTCCGAGACAAAAGCCGCCAGCAGCTGCCCGCCAAACAGGATCAAGTCCACGTCGTGCTCAGTGCCTTCCACGAACTCCATCAGCAGCATGGCATTGCCCCAGCCCAGCCCGATGCCAGGGTGGTCCGCCTCACCTTGCAGGTCTCGGACGATCCGGGAAAAGTGCTCATGGCACTGCGATGCGTCCTCCACCAGCCGTACACCCACCGCACCTGCCCCAAACTCCAGCTTCATGACGCCCGGCAGAGGCACTTGGCGGACAGCCTGCTCCACGTCTGCCTCGCTTTGCAGCGGGCAGCAGGGCACGGCATGCAGGGCGGGCGCTGGCCATGGGGGGCCTCGGCGGCACAGCAGGTGCAGCTGGGTGCAGCTCTTCTGCTTGGCCAGGCGCATGGCGGCCGGCGGGCTGCAGGGCAGTCCTAGCTCCTGGCAGAGCAGGGCGGTGAGCACCAGGCAGTCGTCCCAGTAGGAGAAGCAACCATCGAGCTGCAAGCCGCGCGCCCGCACCAGATCAGCCAGCAGCCGGGCATTCTCCTCGTCCCTGCGGTGCTCCGTGACGTCGAAGTGAATGAAAGTGTGCACCAGCTGCGAGGCAAAGTGGTTGGGATCCGACTCCACCAGGTGCAGCTGCAGAAAACAGCCCCAGGAGGTCAGGGGTGCACGCCCCGCCCCGAGCTGCAAAGCCCCCGCCCATTCGCAGAGGCCCCGCCCATCTTGAGATCGTAATCGTGCACCGCGTTCCACCGGAACTTCATACTGATGCTGAACACACTGAATACACTCAGCATGCCCCGCCCCACCATCGTAGACCCGCCCCCAGGGCGCATGTCCCGCCCCATTCCTAGAGACCACGCCCTATCACCATAGACCACGCCCACTTAGAGACCTTCGTTGCGGCCCGAATCCCGCCGGAACACACGCCACTCAGTCAACATGCCCCGCCCCACCTGCGTAGGCCCACCTCCGCTGTGCATGCCCCGCCCCGTCCACATATGCCCCGCCCCCGACGCGCTCGCCCCGCTCCATCTGCACAGGCCACGCCCACCTTGAGTCCGTAATCTCGCGCTGCGTCCCATACAAACTTCTTGCTGACACCGCCTGCACCGACCAGCAGCAGCTGCTTGCCCTCCATGAGGCTGCGCCCCGAGCGCCGGAGCATGGTCTCCACGAGGGGCGCCGCCGCCGCCTCCTCGCCCACCACCCCCATACGCCGCGCGGCCCAGAGCCCCTCGAGCGCACCGCACGCCTCCAGGCACAGGCCGCTGTTCAGCTCCAGGGCCACGGGGAGCAGCTCGCGGCCGGACACCGTCAGTGCGAAGTCCACGCCTGGTGAGCGGGAGCGGGCTCAGCGCGGTGGGCCTGGCCCAGCCTCGGCTCCAGCCGCCCGTCCGTCTGCACTCCACTCACCCAGCACGTCGGTGCGGACGTGGCGTCCACCGCGCTGCTCGGCGCTCAGGCCGGCCTCCAGGGCCAGCACGGCGGCCAGCGCGGCCTCTGCCGCCGCCTTGACGCGCCGCCGCACGGCCTCCACCTGGGCCGCCTCGCGCAGGCCGCACTGGGCCAGGGCCACGTCCAGCGCCCGTGGCAGGGAGCTGTGATGCCGCAGCGGCCGGTCCGCACGGCCCACAGCACACACCACCTGCGCAGGGCACTACTCAGGGGCGCTGGCCCGAGGGAGGCGGAACCCCCAACAGACAGACGCGCACACACCTCCCCCAGCGCCATGTGCAGGCCCGCCTTCACGCTGATCTCCAAAAACTCCCTTCTCAGGTGGGACCAGCCCCCATGGCTACCCAGGCCCCTCGGAGTTCTACTCTTATGGAGCCCAGCTGGGGTTCCCTCTTGGTGCTCTTGCCGCCCTAGGGGCCTTGTCACCCTGTTGTACCCTAGCACTGCTCCCACCCTCTTCCCAGTTCCTCCTGGGGGCTCCTAGTCATGGACTTATCCAGCAGATCTTTCCCTAAAACTTCCTGGAACTCCTGGCTTGGAGCTTTTCCCCCAGAACTCCAAGAACCCTGGGTTGTTTGAGTACCCCTCAGCCCCTGCTTAGAGTAGCAATGGCAGGAAAGGAGGGAGGAAACAAAGTATTTTAGACCCAGGAGCCCCCACAAAAGGCAACTGACACCTCCGAGACTTCCTCCTCTCTCTGCCCCAGAGAACTGTTGGGGCCCTAGCAGGTGAGCGGGGTGGGGCTGGGCTGGGCTGGACTAGGCTGCGTCATACAAAGACTCACCTGGCCCAGGCCACACTCACCTTGCTCAGCAGAGGTCTGTCACCCTGGGTGCAACATACCACAGCACAGATGCGAACAGCCAGCTCAGGACCTGATGGGGGGTTATCTGAGGGGAGACCTGAAGCCTGAGTGCAGCCCCTGATAGCCAGGCACTAGGGCCCACCCTCACAACAGCTGGCCCAGGAGGCCCTCACCTGGGCTGGCCAGCCAGACAGGTGGACACACGGCCTCCACTAGGATGCTCTCCTCCTCCTCCAACTTTTCCATCATGGCCAGCACTGCATCCACCACAGCACCTAGTTCCGTCCTTGGGTGCAGACGTAGGACTTGCCTCCCACGCCAGCGCCAGCCACTGAGCTTCACAGCCACCTACAGAAGGGAGGGCAGAGGGGGCCTCCTCATCACCACCCCAGTGCTTACAGGCGGGGTATGTCAAAACTGAGGTCAGAGGGCCCACTGGGGCCACTTTCCTATCTGCACCTGGGTGGGAACCATCCCTGGGGATCGTCCTCTGGGTATTGGCCCAGGCCTCAGGATGAGCTGGGGCCTGTTACCTGCAGGGCATCCCCCAGGGCCTGGGAGTGCAGGAAGGCCCCCACTTCCTCCTTCACTAGGGCCTCCTGGCCCTCTTTGCAGCTCAGCTCCACCAGCCGAAGTCCAGGCCTGGCCTCCCCGCCCTGCAGCAGCCCCAGCGATTTGTAGGTGAAGGCCAGGGTAGCGGGCACGGCCACGCCCCCCTGTCGGGCCAGCAACCGCCTGGTCAGCAGCCGGTCCTCCAGCAGGCGGGCCAGCTCTGCTGAAGTGCCCCGGGGGCAGGCCAGGTCACGGGCCAGCTCTGCTGCCTCTCTACCCCAGCCAGGCCCTGGCCCCACGTCTGCCAGGAAGTAGGTGGCCTGGCGTGGGGGCACAAAGTTATCCAGGAATGTCAGGCCCCCTGGGTGGAAGCTCACAGCCTTGGAGACCAGCAGGGCTGCCTCACCCAGCTCCCCGGTCGCTGGCACCTTCGTCAGCCAAGCAGGGGACAGACAAAGGAGCATGTTTCCTGTGGGCAGAGGGAGACAGGCAGCTGGCCAGAAGGGGCCTAATGCCCCCAGGCCCCCACCTCTGGCTCAAGCCCCAAAAAGTGGGGGCAACTGTTCTCAGAACCCACCCCCACCCAGCGCAGGGCAACTGCCCACGGGAATGCAGGCAGTTGGCAGGACTGGTAGGTATTTTGAGATGTGGCTGAGGCAGGGCTGCCCTTTCTGTAGGAGCTGGCGGGGGAGGGAGGACTCCAGCAAGCACTCACACACTCACCCGGGCTCTGGACCCCACCCTCGAGCAGCACGGACAGGAAGGTGCTGGGGGATCCCAGAACGCACAGGGTCACCTCTGCCCCAGGGCGACCTCGAGGAGAACAGGACCCAACTCAGCAGGGGCTCTCCTGGTTATCTCCCAGTTCCCTTCCCCATCCCCCATCCTCATCCTTGGCCTCTGGTCCTTTTCAGGATGGGATGACAAGCATATGGAGACAGATGAAGCTGAGTGGGGTATAGGGAGCCTCTGTTCCCTCCCCACTGGAAAGCCAACTTTCTCCTCTTCCAGCTGCTCTGGGAGACACTGGAGATCGGACATCAGGAGATCTGGGTTCCGGTCTAGCGCTGCCTCTGGTTTTCTGTGTGCCCTTGGGGAAGTTACTGACCCCACTGTGCCTGTTTCCCAGTCTCTGCAATGGAACCAGCTTGGGCTCTCACGTATTCTAGCCCTTGTCCAAGCAAACTGTGGCCACCTGTTCCATGAGCAGTTAGAGCACGGAGGGCGTGTGGAGTGCCGATGCCACAGCTGCCTTCACAGCCATCCTAAAATCTTCCCTAAAACTTCAGAACCCAGCTTTCAAATCCCAGGACTGGACTCCTGGAGTGGGCATCTCTACTGGTGCCAGAGGCCCTTGGCCTTCCTGGGTTACTGGCCGTGCTGCCCAGCACAGAGGAGAGGCTACTCTTGGCAGGGAGCTCTCTGCCCCCTGGAAGGGGGCAGCCGACTGAGCTGAGGGCACCTCCCTCCTCCCCAGTGTGCCCTCCGTGGAGCCCTCAGCACCTGTGCGGGGCGCCTGGCTGCGGTCCTGGGTCTCCGGGAGGCCAGCGTGCTGCAGGCAGCTCTGAAGGAGGCTGTAGTAGTAGGCTGTCCAGGACCGGGCCTCAGCCCCCTCGGGGGAGCCCTTGCAATCCAGGTCCACATCCTGGCTCCAGGGGCCAGGGAGGGAGCCTGTGGGTGGCAGGCCAGACCCCCCTCCCCATGGGCCCTCCTCATCCTCCATGTCCTTGGAGCTCAGGGGACTGTCCCAGCTGGGACACAGTGGATCCAGAGAGAGCTGAGGTGGCAGAAGGGGTGGGTCTTGGGCGGACTGGGCAAGGAGACACACCAGGTCACTCTGGAGCCCAGGCCCTCCCCTGCCCTTCAACCCTGAGTTATGTTTGGGCCAGATATTGTCCAAAGGACCAGGAGAGATGGAGGGGGTTGGGGGTGGAGGCTTGTCACCAGGTCACACATGTGGGAGTGCTTTGTAAACTGTGAGCTGCTGTGTCCTGAAGCAGGCAGGCATCCGTGGCCTGCTGGTTGGACCATCAGGTCCCCCCCTCCCCCGACACCGGCCCTCCCTGGCTCAGTTCCCAGGGCAGTTGCTTGTCCGTCTAGTTCACTGGTGCAGTGCCACCACCCTAAGCTATGGCTGGCACACAGAAACCATTTCCCAAACGTTTATGAATGAAAAACTAGATAAATACTTAAAAACATTAATAACTCTGGGTTTCCCATGGTGCTACAGGCTTCAGTGGCCTGCTGATCCTCTTGAAGAGCCTAACTATTCCTGGAGGTCCCACTGTACAGCAGATCCTTTGCAAGGCTTGGGAACTGCAAAGGTGGGCTCCTTGTGTTCAGATGTTGCTCTCTGGGTGGAATCTCACCTTGGCTGCTTCTAAGACTTAAGATGATGGTCCTAGGCTGACACCACACAGGTGGCTGGAGGCTCCATGTGAGCACAGATGGGACGCTTATTCCTGACTGTCCCTGGCTTGGAGAGGGAGGACGGGTGGCTGGCCACGTGGCCACCTGGGGCTTGGGACGAGGTCTCTCTGGGCCCTTGGGTACCTAGCATCTATCTGCCCTGTTTTATCCTTGGATGCTGTGGCTTGGACCATGATCTCCTTGTCTGTTGAGGACAGTGTCTAGGGGCAGAGAAGTCTGGGCCTCAGAGTTGGACTTAAGTCCCAGCTTGCCAGCGTCAACCTCTGAACTTCTCTCTACTCTGCTTGATAGAGAGGCACCCTGCTGCGGTGTCCCCAAACCCAAGTGTTGTTACTTCCATGGTAGATGCTCAAGATGACTGGATGTGAAAGGAAATCAAAGGTGCCCGAGTCTCTGGGCTGGAGGGAAGACATGGAGGGCAGTAAGAAATGGGACAGGTGGTCAGGGGGCTGTGAGCTGGCCACAGCTGAGATGTCAGCACAGGACGGGCCCAAGATTAGGCTCTGACGCCATTGTTCTCGGGGCCCTCCCTCTGTCCCTGGTCTTGAGCCTCGAGGAGGGACAAGCGGAGACTCACCATCTTGCAGGTGGAGAGGCTGAGAGACTGATGGCCGAGACAGAGGGACAGAGAGATAAGAGAGGGAGTCAGGGCATCTGGGGCCCTACTCCACCACCCAGTCCTGAAGACTAGGGGAGGGACAGGTGGCCAGTACTGTGCCTGCAGCCTGTCCCGGCCAGAGTGTCCCAAGTCTGCCCTGCCCCCACCCCAGGAAGCAGAAGGATTTCTGCCCCCGGGACCTTAAGACCTTAAGAGCCCTGTAGCATGAGCTCACAGCTCCAGAGTTGCACAGGGCAGTCGGTGGGTGGGAGGGGTCGGGGTGGAGCACAGTCGCTCCAGGTAGGGTGGGTGTCTGTCCTCCCCAAGTATCGAGAGGCGGGGCTGGGGACTCCCGTGGGGCCAGTCTCAGGGTCCCAATCCTCGCGGCCCCTGCCCCGGCAGCCCCCCTCCCTGGCTCGCCCAGGCGGGGGGCCGGAGCCGGGGTACCTGCGGGTGGGCGCAGCGGCTAGGCGGGCGGTGGGGCTCCGCGGGCGAGCGGGCGGGCTGGCAGGCGGCAGGTGGCTGTCACAGCGGCGGCTGCACAGCGCAGCCTGGGCGGCACCGCCTTTTATAGCCGCGCGCGCGCGGGGCATGCCCAGTGGGCGCGGGCGGGGCGGCGGGGGTCAAGTTCAGCAGCCGCGGGTGATCAGACAGATTGCGCCCAGAACCGGCCTGGTTCCCTCCAGCCAACCCTGGCAGACTCCAAACTTGGGACACTGGTGGGGAGCCCAGCCAGGAGAGATGACAGCAGTGGAGGGAGTGAAGGATGGATGGAGGGATGAATGGATGGATGATGGATGGATGGAATTGTCAGAGACACCAAGTTGGGACCTAGGGCCAGGCACACATGAGGGCCATCTGAGAGGGTCCCAGACACAAATCTGGGGGAATAGAAGAGACAGAGCCTGGGCCCAGGGCAGATGATGGAGGCTGGAAGGGACGGGAGGGAGGGGGGCAGATAAGCCTGAGGCTGGAGCCCTCAGAGACTGGTACTAGGACCCGCCCTTGGGGGTGGAGTGGCCTTAGGAGCGGGTGACCGGTCACTGGGGAGCCTGCCCTTGGAACAGGTCCTGGGCCCACAGCGTGGCCCATGGCTTCCCCGCCCACAGTCACAGTTCTGAGCAATGATTCTCCAGGAAACAAATCCCTCTCCTGGTCCCCAAATCTATCTGTGGGGTCCTCTTGACAAGAGTAGGGGCTTCTCTGTACAATCTCACACCAAGACTTTCCCTGCAGGGAACCAGGAGGCACTGAGCACACAGCAATGTCACCTGTCCAGGAACACAGGGGTCAGCTGCACACTGAGGTCACACCCAAATCACCTGGTCCACCCCACCCTAGAAGCCTGCCTGGACCACAGGTTCACATCAAGAACCCCTTCCTGAGGTGTACCTCTCATCTGGGTTCCCATAGAGCTCTGACTGGGGGCCAGGGCACCTCCATTCTGGACCAGAGCCCCACCCTCCTATCTCATACAGACTGGCACCCGACATGTGTACCGTCCTGACTACTACTTCTTCCCTAATGGAATTGGACCCTCTGAACTATACTTTGTGATAAACTTGGGGAGGTCCCTGGGGGGCTGGGAATGAAGCCGGTCAGCCCACAGTCACTTGTTGCACTTGTGGTGGTGAGGGGCCAGCTTGGGGCACTTTCTGCAGCTGTGCTCAGAGGAGCCTCTGAGGTCCCAAACCACTGGATACTCCTAGGGCAGGGGAGGGACTTATCCAGGATCCCCTGTCTAGACCACACTCCCCACACACTTTCTGAGGCTTCTCTGAGCCCTTCCAGGCCCTAGTCCACACACAGCTTTCTCTGGAATTCTGTGCATGTCCCCACACCCCCAGATCCAGGTAGGTGGCCATGTAGGAGTGCCAGTTGGGCCCACAGGAGAGGATGCAGGGGCATTCCTGATGTTATCCAAAAAGCATGAGGTTTGTATTGTTAGGTGCTATTGAGTCAACTCTGACTCACAAGTGACCCTCCCTGTAAAGAACATATTGGACCTTCCTTCCCCTAAGCTGTGTCACGCTCAGTTTCTACCATGGAAAATCCCATTGTTGCAGTTGCTGTATTAATCTTTCTGAAGGTCTTCTCTCTTTTGCTCGCACTCTACTTGTCCAAGTGTAATGTCCTTTTCCCAGGGACTGGCGCCTCATGACAAATAAGATGAAGTTGCCCCATCCTGGCTTCTAAGGAGCACCCTGACTGCACTTTCTCCAAGGCAGATTTGTTCTTTGGACAGTCTGTGGGATATGGAATATTCTTTCCCAATACCAGAATTCAAAGACATCATTTCTTCTTTGATCTTCTTTATTTACTGCCAAACTTTCACATGCAGGAGAAGCAATTGAAAATACCATGGCTTGGATCAGGCACACCTTAGTCTTCACATTGACATCTTTGCTCTTCACCACTTTGGAGAGATCCATAAGAGCATGTTTCCCCAGTGCAGTACGTCCTTTGATTTCTTGACTGTTGCTACTATGGATGTAGATTGTGGATCCAAGCAAAATGAAATTGTTGGTAACTTCAGTCTTTTCTCCATTGTCATGATTTTTTCCCATTGGTCCATTGTCTTGATGTTCAAATATAATCTAGATTGATTGAAGGCTTTGATCCACATTGAAGTCTTTGATCTACAGCAAATGGTCCAAGTCATCTTCACTTTCTGCAAGCAAGGTTGTGTCGTCTACATAATGCAGATTGTTGATAAGTCTTCCTCCAATGCTGATGTGACATTCCTCTTCATCTAGTCCACCTTCTCTAATTATTGCTAGAATTATTTGACAAGGTTTGATTCCTAACAAGTTATCTAGGTTCTGATAAGTTCAGTTTCTTCCTCACAAAGCAAGAGTTGCGATGCACACTTCAGCTGAGTGTGGCTTATCACTGGAGGGCTGGGTGTTGGTCTTCAGACCTCCTCGCAGCTCAGGGCCCAGCCTGGAGTAGGAGGCCATAATTATCTGCTGACTGGGCACTGGATGCCCACCACCCTCTCCCCTGCCAACACACTCCCCTAAGCAGAATCTGTAGGTCAGGGTCTGTGAGCCCCGTGGTTCCGTCCCCGGGACCACAGAGATGCCACATAAACTTGTGCTTACTGAGTGGATTCCCGTAGGCTGTGTCCTTGCCACTAGGACATTCCAGATCCCCTGCCCTACTGTTGGGACACGCGGAAATGACCACGAAACCTGACAGTCACCACTGAAGCAAGGCGCCCTGCCCAATGTGGATGTGTTTCTGTACCACGCCCTGAAGAGCTACAATGAGGTCAGGGACATGGGTATCTGGGAATTGGCACTGGAGGGACACCCGCCACAGAACCAGCTTGTTGTCCTGGTGATGGCTCATGTCTCAAGCCCCCAGGTCCCCACGGGGGCAATTAGCTGTGTGGGCTGGAGTTTCTATGGAGGCAGTCCTGAGGGGGTGCAGCCGGGCTGAGGGAGGGGGCAAGGGCCGGCAGGGCCTTTCTCCTTTGTCCTGGGTATACTGGGCCTTTGTTCCTGCTCAACTCCCTCAGAGAGGCAGACCAGACCCATGAGTGGGGGTGTAAACTTAGGTTAGAGCCCCCTATACGGGGGAGCCCTGAACTAGCCTAGGAGGAGGGGAAGAAAAAGCAGAGAATGGGATGGGCCCCTGCTTTGGGCCCAGCATATCCCTGGGGAGCCACAGGTGCTGGCAGCACCACCCGCCCCAGAGTCTGGGTAGGCGCAGGTAAACACACCTTTCTGATAACCACAAGGCAGCCTCTTGGTGGCCATGGGTGGAGCTAGGGCAGAGTGTGGCTACGAGGGGAGGGAGGGGCTGAGGAGGGCAGGAATACAAGGGGGGGGGGGGAAGATGGGGAGGACAGGGCCACAAGGGGAAGAAAAGGAAAGAATGGGACAGACTAAGAGGAAGGTGAGGTGAGGGCGAGGCCGGTGGGAGGGCGGGAACTGGGGGCAAGAGTAGCATAGGGTCCATTGGATTCAACCCCCTGGATATGCTCAGTCAAACTTTATTCTAGGTTGGGGAACCCAGCTGGGCGACTTTAATGTCCTCAGGGACCTAGCTCCCTGGGCAGATGACGCTGATCCCAGCCAGCCCCTCCCTGTCCTTTCCTCCACCTTTGTGCCCCATGGGGTCAGGAATGAGTTTACCTGCCCTGCTGACCAGCTTAGGGGACGCTAAGCCCCACACATTGTGGGAGGCCCACCGTGGGGGTCTGCGCTCATGAGTCCAAGGAGCCCTCAAAAGCGAGTGTCCAGGAAAGAAGTGGAGCCCCGATGAGCTCTGGGGGGGCCTTCTAGAGGGGGACCCCGCGACCGAGTCAGGAGCCCATGGAACGTTTTGCCGCGGGTTTGGGGCTTTCGCCGAGGGGTCTTGGGTTCCTCTGGGGGCTGTACCACGATGCGGGGCACTTCGAGGCCCGGCCTGATGGCCCCTGGCACCCCTGCCAGCTGCTGGGCCTCAAAGATGGCTGCAGCCCCTGCTAGACGTGCCTGTGGCCGAGGTCGTGGTCCAGGTGATGTTGTGGGCAGCTGGCCCAGCTGGGCCCGCATCTCATGCTGCAGGTCGCGCTCCGACAATGCCACACTGTGCACCTATGGGAGAGGCAGGGGCCCGCTGGTGGTGAGGGGGTAGGAAACAATGACAGCCCCCACCCCTGGGGCGGGCCCAAGGGGCCAGGAAGTGGCTACGGTGGAGGGGCTGACAGATAACTCTCACAGGAGGAACCACTTGAAGACTGGGTTTTCTCCCCTGCAGCTCCGAGGACCTACTGAGCCTAGGTCCTGTTATCTTGTTCTGAGACTCTCTTTCCTCCAATTGCACAACAAGGGCTGGGATGTGGTAAAGGTGGGCAGGAACACCTACCTGGGACATGAAGACCTCCTCCTGTAGCTGAGATGGGGAAATGGTTCGAAGGGCACCCAGGGTCTCCAGGATCCCGGGGCAGGCCAGCCGCTGCTCAGCAGTGCCCAGCGCCAGCCGCACGAGTGTCAGCCCCACGCGGAACAACACCTTCACACCTGCAACCTGGGCTCCATCAAAGGGAAGCCAGCCCCGCCTCCCACCACACCTGAGGCCCCACCTGTCTGCAGCTCACCTCTACCTGGGACCAGGAGAAGGGACTGCATGAGTGCATGCTTGCACATGTACACCTGCAAACACAAGCACACCTACACACACAAGACCTGCGCACACACACAGTGTGTTCATGGGATCCTGGACCAGCGCCTGTCTCAGAGCCACAGAACCTTCCCCTGTCAGCCTCTGAGAGGCCTAATGACAACTGTGTCGCTGTTATTAAAGGAAGCCCGTGGCAGGGCTTGGCCACCTGGCTCCAAGCCTGCCCTCAGGCCCTCCCAAGGGGACAGCTGGGGCTGGCTGTGTACATGGCAGAGGTCAGTAAACGTACTCATGGGTTTCCACATCTCCAAGGTACAACCTGTGGACATTACAGATCAGAGTGACTGATGTACTGGAGGGGGGAGGTGGTGCCAGAGTCTCAGCTCAGCTACCGACACCCCCATCTTGTCCTGGTCCCAACATGCACCTCTCCAGCTTCCCATCTCTTCACATTCCATCCCTCTGCTGCCTGGGTCCTGCAGACAGCCTCCACCTGTCCAGGCTCCCTACAGAAAGGCGCCCTCCTTGGACCTGCCACAGACATGTCCTACAATCCTTGCCTCTGCCAAGTCCTGTCCCTGTTGGCACTATTTTATTTTCTCCTTGGCACCAGAGAAGCTCTATAAATATCTTGGTAATGTGCTTCTTGGCGCCTCCCATGCCTGCTAGAACGGAAGCCTCCATCCACAGGTGGTCTCAGCTCCCAGAGCCAGGCCTGGGCCTAATGAGAGGAGCACTCAGTAAAACCAAATTCAAGGACCTCCAGGTCTAGCTCCCCCACCGAGCCCTGTCTCATGCCACTCCACCCAGTGTTCCTGTCCCATGGGTCTCCTGTGAAAATGTGCCCTGGTCCATCCTCCTGTGGTGGGGGGACACTCTCCATTGCCGCCCTCAGGGGCCAGGAACGGGGGGTGGTGAGGATGGAATAAGTAAGTCCAACAGGTGAGCTATGACATCTCCAGTCACCATCACCAGCGGGCCCCTGGATTTGGGGCCCCAGGAGGGCCAAGGTGGGCAGTGGGAGAGCTGTGGGACCCCGAGCTGGGGCCCCGTGTGCCCCCAAGGCCCCCAGCCTGGCACGTGCCCCACTCACCCTCGCTGAGGAAGGCGTCCCAGATGCGTAGCACCGTGGGGAAGGGCAGGGACCGGGCAAAGAGGCACAGGAACCACTCCGGCAGGTAGAGCAGGGGCCCGACGCCCACCTGCTGCAGGTGCTTGTGCACTCGTGGGAGCAGCCTCCGCAGAAGGGCCGAGAACACCTGCGCGTCCAGCTGAACGGCCTCCTGCAGGTGGCGGTGTCAGCTTTCGCCTCAGCCAGTCCTCCTCGGCTCCCAGGCCCACACCCCTCCTGTCCAGTCCCCTCCTGGCCTCCTTAACCGCCCTACCCTGCTCTGTCCCCCTGCGCCCTATCCCACCTCTCACCATGTGGGGTCCGTAGTAGCCAGGGAGGTAGACCTCGCAGATCTGCACCAGGCACCAGAAGGCCTCCTGTGGGAATAACCAGGCTGTGAGGTCACCTCGAGGCCAGTGCAGGGCAAAGGAAAGGGCACAGGAGCCTGGGACGCAGGGCCACGCAGCCACCCTGACCCTGCTCAGTGGCAGGGAGAGCAGACAAGGTGCTGAATATGAAGGTACCAGGGCTGGCTCCCACTGGTCAAGGCTCGAGTGTCCCCACAGTTCACATCCTGCGTTTCTGGGGTCAGAGGTCATGGTTACAGGTTCAGAAGCAGGATTTAGAGATGGAGGTGACAAGGCCCGAGGGTCTGGGTCATTGGGGTAAGATCAGGGGTTAGGTGATTGGGATTGAAGACCCTCAAGGTGGGTGGTCATGACAGCTGGGTCCATGGGGACAGGGTTTGGGAATCTCAGGTCCCTGAGGTCAGTTTCTCCAGGGTTAGTGGTCAGGGAGTCCAAGGCTTGGGGTCACTAGGGTTGAGATCAAAGGCTTTGGATCCCTCAGGTCAGTATCTTTGGGGTTGGGGATCAGGGGTGCAGGGTCACTGGGGGCTGGGGCCCTGGCACAGGGCTGAGAACACTCACTTCTGGAGGCAGGTGCATGAGCAGAAGAGCGGCCACAGGGCCCTGGGCCTGGCAGTAGCCCTGCTCCGGCCGATACAGCGTGTAGGCCTTGAGTACCTCCAGGAGCCCCTGCTGCCTGTGCCAGAAAACCTCGTCAGGGCCAGTCCCCTCCTCAGGGAGCACCTTCCCTCTCGTGGGGCCTTAGCTCCCGTGGGATGCTGGAGTGGGGTCCCTGGGGCTCGCTGGCTCGTACCCGTGGCCCTGAGGTGACACAAACATCTCATGCAGAGGGAACTGGCGGTGCAGGTCCCTGCCAATGGTCTCCATCCACTGAGGGTCGCCGGGGGCTGAAGCCAGTTCCTGTGGGTGGGCAGGCAGGCCTGTGTGAGGGCTCAGCATGGATTGGGAATGGGAAGGCGGGATGCCGGTCACGTGCCTCACCTGGTAGGTCCTGGGGTTCTTCTGCTGACACACGTGAGCGCCGCACAGCAGCGGCCAGCAGCGGGCCCTCAAGGCCGAGGGGATACCTTTCCTGCACTGTATCTTCACCTGAGGGAGGGGTCCAGAGCTCCATGAAGCCAGGTGACCAGCCTCACCTGCCCCTACTGTCAACCCCAGATATGACTTTTTGGTGGGAAGGGACCCTTTTCTGTGGCAGAAAGCAAAGGGGGCCAACACTGGGTCACAGAAGAGATGAAACAAGAGTGACCAAGGCAGTGGGATTTAGACACGGTGGACTGAGTGGGGGACCCTCCATCCCTTTCACCTTCTTATATCGCCTGGACATGGTCTTCTCCCAGTGCGAGGTCATCTCCACCCACTTCATCTCCCGCTGTCGGATTAGGTCTGCTGAAGGGTGACCTGGGCTGGAGACACATGAAGAGGTAACCAGGTGCTGGCCAACTGTGCCTCGGTGCCCACACCTGCTACTGTCCACATTCCCTGGGTAAGACCAGCCCCTGCCCATGGCTGTCATGAGGACAGAAAAGGATGTGGCTCTGATGTGGGCGGAAACAGAAGAGACTGAAGCAGTACAGGAGGGTATATTGGGGGAGGGGCTGGCTGGCTTTCTCCCTCCTCCCCCGCCCCAGAACAAGAACAGAGAAGTCACAGGAGAGCTGGTGGACAGAGCTCTGGACTGGATGTCAGAGTCCTGAGTGTGAGAGTCAGGTCTCTGATGCGCTGTGTGACCTCCAGCAAGTGCCTCTCCGTCTCTGGATAGGTTTTCCTGTCTGTCCTTTCACGGGAAAGGGGAAGGAATAGTGTGGGCTGCAAGGATTGGACCTGAGATTACTGGGTCAGAGGTTAAAAGAGGAAGGATTCTCAGTCCCAGTGGTGTTATCCCTCAGAGGTTTAGGGAACAAGAAACATCCAGGGACCCCACGCAGTCATTTCCATTTTAGGGTTCACTTAGAGCTTGAGAAGAGATGGCATCTGAGCCCCATTCCCTGCAGCAAGACCCTCCCAGCATGCTTGATGGACTCAGCTCTCACATCCCATCCTAGATCCCAACCCCCACCCCCCACCCCCACTTACCCTGGCTCTGCTGAGCTACCACCAATGAAGCCATAGCGGTCAGCCTGGCGAAATGGACTGGGCCCACTCAGCTCGGAGTCAGACCCCAAAGAACTGGAGTCGTCCTGCAGCTCAGAAGGTTGCACCAGGTCCTCCCCCAGGGCCTGGGCCATGGCACCCCTGAGCCCAGATGCCACCGGCTGTAAGATGTGGGGAGAATTAATGAGAGAGGCAGTTCTGGGCCACCCTGGCATCCTGGGTCCCCGTCTGCCAGGCACTAGCCTCAGAGCTTGGATGTGAGGCTAGAGATGGCAGGTTTGGGGGAATCTCATTGAGGGCCCTGCATCTCCTCTTTTTTTAGGGGGAACTGGGCCCTGAAATGACAGAAAGGTCAGAGCTCTGTACAAAAACCCAGCCCCAGGCCCAGCCATTGTTCCCCCGCCAGCCCAGCTCACCTCCAGGCAGCACCTCACCTCCCCCTCTCACTTCCTCCTTAACCCCAGCTTCAGCAGCCTGCTGGGGGCCCCTCCCAAATGTGGGGGGGTAACCCTTCCTCTATGGGGCTCTTCCTGCTTGCCCTGGTGCCCCGCACCGCAGCACCCCTCCCACCTTCCCCAGACTGCTGAAAGGGGTTCCTTTGTCTGGTGTACGTACCCCAGCCCACTTCGAGGCTCCTGCGTGGAAGTTACCAAATTAAGGTTCCCGCAAGGATTAGGGGCTACTTACTGTTTGTACTTTACAAAGTGATTCTTTTTCTCCCCTACAGAATGCACGTGTGTTCTTTAACTGCGTCACTCACTAGGTAATTAGTGGGCCGCTAGAATATTCACTTAGTGAGCACCTGGTGCGCTGGGACCGGAACGGGCTTCACTCAAGCCTGGGGACAGTTGTGTCTGGGTTACGTCGGTGGCGGCGCGCTGCGGTGCAGAACACCCGCAGTGAAGGTGAGGTCAAACCAAAAGCCTCACCAAAGAGCCAAAGGCCCTTCAGTTCTGAGCGCAGGGCCCCGGATGGTGGAGCTTAACTGCCTCTTCCGGTTTCTAAGGCTATCATTTAACAAATTTTTTTTTTTAGTGTACCGTCAAATCAGATCTAACTTGTACAGGAGGAGATTGTCCCTTCTTCTCCAGCAGAACATCTGGTGGATTCAAACTGCTAACCTCTGGGATTGCAGTGCAGAGTCTTGCCACTAGGCCACCAGAGCTCGCCAAAGGTTGTCATTTTTCTGCAACTAGGCGGTCCCATCTTGCTCCCTGAGAAAATTACAGGGGTGGATTCAAGCTGTCCACCTTCCGGTTAGGAGTGCAGTCCTTAACCCACTGCACCACCATGGGTCCTTCCAACATGAAGTTAGCCCTTGCTTTTTCTGAGTTTCCAAATTTTCTGCACTTTCGGGACTTTGGGGAAGTGGCCACGGCTGGGGTTTGTCTCGGTGATTAACGGCTTGCACCAGTCTTCCTCCCCGGACAGAGCTGCATGGGCTTTGGAGTCTCTGAAAGTGAAAAAATCACTTCCCGGGATTCACCGACTCCTCGGGGGCCGGCCCCGGCCAGGCCCCGCCCCGCAAGGCCCCGCCCCCGCTGCACCGCGCCTCCCGTCCAGCAGGGGCGCTAGAGCGCGGGCTGCGTCCGGGGCGGTGTCCCGGGCGGGGCGGGGCGCGGGGGCGGGCCGGGCGGCGGAAAAAGCGTCAGGCCGGAAGGAGGCAGCGGGAGGGCGGGCGGCAGCAGCGGGCCCGGGGCTGCAGGGCCGGAGCGGCGGTGCCGCCATGTCCGACACCGAGAAACTCAACTTGGACTCTATCATCGGGCGCCTGCTGGAAGGTGGGCCGCGGCCCGGGGGGACAGCGCGCGCCGCGCCCTGGGCCCCCCCCGGAAGTGGTGCGCGGGCGGGCTCTGTCGCCCGGGGCCGGCCGAGCCTGGGTGGGGACGGCCTCGAACTCCGGGCCCGCTCCGCCTCCGGAGCAGCCCCTCTCCAGGGCGTGCGCTCTCGGGAGGGACCTGCGGCGCCCAGCCCGGGGAGGGGTCCTGAGCTCTCGGGGAGCGGGCACGGCGCCCGGCCACCCGCTGTTTAAGGTCCTAGGATAGTGGGGGTCCTGCCTTGGGGGGGCCGGAGACCCAGGGCAAGAAGGGGTTCCCCAGGACCACTCTCCTGTCCGAGCAGCCGGGGTCTTGACACCCCTTCTTTCTGCAGTGCAAGGCTCGCGTCCCGGGAAAAATGTCCAGCTGACGGAGAACGAGATCCGTGGATTGTGCCTCAAGTCCCGGGAGATCTTCCTGAGCCAGCCCATTCTTCTGGAGCTGGAGGCACCCCTCAAGATATGCGGTGAGCACCCTGAACAGTGACAGTGACGCGCCTGTTCCTGGGGTCCTTCTCGCTGGAGCCCGTCCCGGGGCCATGGGTTTGCTAGCTCCTGCATGTAGCCCTGACCTGCTGCCCTGGGTCGCAGGTGACATCCACGGCCAGTACTATGACCTCCTGCGGCTGTTCGAGTACGGTGGCTTCCCGCCAGAGAGCAACTACCTCTTCCTGGGGGACTATGTGGACCGGGGCAAGCAGTCCCTCGAGACCATCTGCCTGCTGCTGGCCTACAAGATCAAATACCCGGAAAACTTCTTTCTGCTCCGTGGGAACCACGAGTGCGCCAGCATCAACCGCATCTATGGCTTCTATGATGAGTGTGAGTGGCACCCTCAGCGGGCGGCAGTGGGGTCCTGGTAGACCCCACATTCAGCTCTGTGAGGGGAGGGCCCTGTTCAGTGCACAGCCACCCCACCCACGCTCCCTGTACAGACAGATGCATCCAGGAGCAGCCTGGAGTCTTGATGCTGTCCCCCAAGGCTCTGCCTGCTGACACCCCACCACGTTTGCCATCACTTGACCTTAGGATACCCACTTGGACCTTGATGGCTAGAAGCTGAGCTGAGCCCAGTCCGGTCTTGGCCCTGCTCAAAGGGGTGCAGCTGAGGAGGAAGTAACCAACTCTAAGGCTCTAGATTAAAACTTGGGGGGTCTCTGTGGCCCTGATGCTTTAAAATGTCTCCTTGGAAGGTAGTGGGCAGGGAGGGGTGGGACAGGTGTGAGGCCCCCTCTCCTCTCAGGTCTGGGTGGTGGGTTGAAACTTGGGCTGGGGGCGGGGTGTGGCAGGACCCTCCTCAGAGCCGCTGCCTTCCTCCAAGCAGGCAAGAGACGCTACAACATCAAACTGTGGAAAACGTTCACCGACTGCTTCAACTGCCTGCCCATCGCGGCCATTGTGGACGAGAAGATCTTTTGCTGCCACGGAGGTGAGGCGGGCGCTCCCTGGAAGGTGGCATCAGCTGCACTGCCCGGGGCGAAACGTGGCTCAGGAAAGACATGTTCCCTGTAGCGACAGCCTGGGTCCTGAGGAAGCTCCCTTACACCTGACTCCCTCTGGGGCTGCGCGCCTCTGCTTTCTGCAGAGTGGGCACAGGAGCGGGCAGGGACTGGGAAATGGCAGCGGGGCCTGGGCCTGCCTGGGCCCAGGAGTGCAGGGAGAGGGCCCGTGGCAAACTTGAGCTTGTCTGAGGTGC